CGGTAGCAAACAGGAAACTTCTCAGAAGAAATCATGATGATATTTATAGCAAAGGCACAGGGAATCTATGTTACGGTGGTGTGAATATATATATATATATATATATATATATATATATATATATATATATATATATAAGTGGATTTGTGTGAAGTTTACGTTTAAGAATTAAATAGACTGTCTCCACTGTGTGTTGACCTCAGTGACCACTTTTATATTTACATATGTTTTATCATTGATAATGAAGCTGTTAAACCATAAGTATAGCATACATTTAAAATATATTTTTAGATTAATATAATACGTCCTCAAATAACTATAAATATATCAAACTACTATATCGTAATCTAATGCACCCTCATTAATTATATACTATACTTAATTTATTACAGCCAACCTAGATGTCCATAACTTTTATCCCTCAACTAGCGTCTTACAAAAAACCAACGTCGTATATGAATTTAAATGTCCTTCGGGAGTTTGTATCTCTGATAAAAATGTTAATACTCATGTGGGTTTTACAACAACGACAATAACGAGAAAGCTTACGTTTTATTTGAACGATCATAGTTCAATCTCAGAACATTTAAAGGAACACTCATGTCAAATATAACGAACCCAACGGGAATTGAAACTCGGCTCTCTGATTAATTTCCATGCAATTATCAATTGCATATTTAATGATTATTATTGTGTTTTATCCTTTAAATTATTTGTGTACATTTAAAACAAATGGCGTATTTATGGACAATTATTTCAAAGTTAAGAATACGTCCATTTAAAAGTTAACTGACCTGCAATAATGTTAAGAATTAGGTTAAACGATGAAAATGGAACAGTAAGGTTGAATTTAAGTCCCCCCCACAACTACAAATAAAAACAAAACCGTAAATATTTAGAGTAAGGCATGAAACCATACCTAGGAAATAACAAAAAGGGTTAAATTTAGGAACAGTAGGTTACCTCCTTGGTTATCCATTGAAACTGCTATCCACCGAAAAAGAAAAGAAGCCAGTCCCTATCGTGGACCATTTAAAACAACAGTTCTCGCAGCGGATTGGTTGTTACAAACATCCAATCGGGTATGCAGCAAACGTGGTCTATTTTTATCTAACTCATTAGAAAGGCCAGTGTATCTGCTAGCGTTTGATTGCGAGGGGGAATCAGAGATTGATCTCCCCCTCATTGGGTCGACTTGCTGATGGGGTGTATAACATTGAAAGACTCGAAACTCCCTGATGAACCAAGTCAATTTACATTACTGACGACTCCCTCAGGCGCCTACTTAAGAGCGTATATTTGAATGTACACATCCAAGCTTACTTGTATTCCAAACCGGCTAACCATCTAGCTAGTGACCAGGCTCAACATTGCTTAACTTCGGTGATCGTACGGGAACAGGTGTTTTAACATAATTTGGCCGTTTGCAAAGAACGTAGAGATTATGTTTCATTAAACAACATTAATCAAGTTTAAACAGTTTAAAATGAGTTGATTATTCTTTTAAAATGTGTACCTTGTTCCCTGCTCTCTTAAAACAATCATATGCTGCAGTTTACTTGTCGTACGAACAAGTTGGAGCAAATTCAAGGACACTTATAAGATTTCCCTAACGCTGGCAAAGGTTGAAGCAAAGAGCATGGCCTTCCTTTTCCACTAGTTTATTTTGTATTGGCTGATATGAATCCACGTTTGAATTTAAGATAAATGTTTTCTTATCACGAGCGTTTGCTTATTTAAAATAGAAAAACAGTTTTATTTCGGGCGAGAACGAAACTAGTTAAGATATATTGTTTCAAAAATTAAAAAAGCTAGAAATAAAACAAACAAACCAACTTATGGCGTCTATTCATGCATTATATCAAATGTATTCGCTTAACCTTTGAATTTTAAGGCGGCGGGTGTCACTGGGAAAATTCTAGTAATAACATAACAACAGTCTGTATTTGAAGGCATAGCCCAGAGGTTGTGCTCTGGCCGGAATTGTTCGAGATCCTCGCGTCCGTGTTACGATTAAAAGTTCAGAAATTCTATAAGCGAAAATCATGACTAAGAAGCAACTAAATTAGGAATAGGAAGTGAGTCCTGGGAAGGAGAAGTCGGTTTAAAACCGAAGAGAGAAACCGTAAATTAAGAGCAATAGCTTCAGGGTACCCATTGTGCATGGGTTCCCCTAGTGCAGTCTCGGTGTTAGGGGTAGTGAAAGGATACAAGGGTCACGGGAAGACTGCGTGAGTAGGACGTGCTTGGCATTAAATAAATCCGAGAAAGGAAGCAATGTGACACTCGCATAAAGGGTGACTTTTTCATGGCTCGAGGTTTACCCGGGTGGGTGGCGTTTGGGAAAGGGGTAGAAATCTAGATATAGGCCTGTGGGCAAAAAGAAGCGAACAAAAGAAAGGAAATAGAAAAACTGTATCGAATTTCCAGTCAGTGTCTAGATTTAAATGAACCACCCAGACAAAGAAGCGGTTGCTGAAATCAATGTTATTTAAAAGTGCACTAGTCCTTCCTTATCCGCTGGATATACCGCGTTTAATAACAAAATTGTTCCATTCTTAGCTTAAGCTTTGGAACCATCGTATCTTAGAAGTGATTAAAGATATATTACTGGAATTCTCCGCGGTTTTCTATTGGACTTCACTTTGAACAATAAAAATGTATTTAGCTCTAGGTTGAAATTTTCCTTTTGTGACCTCCTGATCCAGTTTTCCTCTCTACTGTTTCCTCTTTTTTAAAAACTTATTCAACGTTCCCTTGATACTTTTTTGAATGCACTCTGAAGATGAAAGCCAGAGTATGAATTTTGGTACCATTACTGAAGGTCTTAATGATCTTTTTCCGCTCACCATTGCTCAGTTGGGATGACATATTGGGGTTGTCTCAAAACGATTTTAACCTGTTCTCTTTCTAGCTGAATAACTCAAAGGGATTTTTAGTGACACTCACGACGAACTCTGTCAAGATGGCTAAAAGTCTTATCTGAAAATATGGACAAAAAAAAAACTCAATTATTTTTTTTTTTTTTTTTTTTTTTTTTAGATTAAACATTTTGTACGATGGACAATTATCTCATGCTGTTACATGATTTGGACAATTTTGCTGTTACACTCGTTATATGAGAAAACGTCCCGTCACCTCTCTCGAGATCTTTTTGTAATGACTCTGTTATCATAACAACAGAGTATCTCATTGCTAAGTAGAGGAGATAAGACAAATGCATAAATTCCTATTGAGCACATACAGTGTGCGGCAGAAATACATCTCACAATTTAAACTGCCACCTGTGTGATGCCAGTGAACATAGGCAAGTGGCAATGCTGTCTTCATCTAGCTAACGTTTTACCATTTTTTTGCAGATGCCATCATTTATGATCATGGCTTGGACCGATGCTCACCGTGCGTTTGCAGTTGAAACGTTTTTGTTTTTTTTTGTTTTTGTTTTTTTTTGGTTGGGGGAGGTTATAAGCCTTGGGAATTGCCACACGGAGATCTTTTCGTGTCCATTACATGTTACGTCTACTCCGGATAAAAAAAATCGATGCTGGTTGAAAATTTCAGGGCCACTGGTTCAGCGCTTAAACGAAAGCCACCTGGAAGACCTCGAATGGCTCCAACTCCAGAAGGTCTTCATGTAATGGAAACGTCTACAAAAGTGTATGGCGAATATCGACTACCATGTGGAGGATATATTTTTTAGAACCAAGTGAATAAAAATGAAGCCCTCTGTCTACACAACAGTGCAGTAAATCTTTTAATAGCAGTTATCTTTGTCTTTTTTATCAACCTTTAAAATACGGGAGGTATTTCCGCCGCACTCTGTAAAATAGATAATAAGTCACTCTCTTCTTATTCCTGACTAATGACAATAGCTTTTTATTTTTCTTAATTTTCAGGGTACATCTTAAAAAACTGGTCACAAAACAAATATATATGTTAATCAAATAATGGATCTATTCAGACAATACAAATTGTCTTAATTACTGACAACAGGTAAACCATTTCTGTCTGTTTTTTCAATGCATATCTATAGCAAAATCGTTTAGAATGCATTTATATTATACATATACTATCACTATTTGGTCAGTAAATCTTGCCTTAATTCCTGACCACTGATCATCCATCTCTTTCTGTTTTTCAACACATATCTTTAGTAAATGCACAGCAATATTCAATACTTTTAACGTTAAACAACCAAAGGTGCATTTTTATGAAAACAGAATCAATATTACATATGAAATGATTGAAAAGGAATGGCAATGCCTTGGTAACTGTGCAAAACATTAAAGTCTATACAAAACAACAAATATCGTTTAGGCACCAATTTATATTTGGAAAGAATAGGGCAGTTAAATTTTCAAAGTAAACATATATTATCAAAACTAAAAAATAATTTAATTAATTAAAAATAAAATTAAAAAGGAATTAATAAATAAAAAAATAAGCAAAAAAGGGAACGAGTATGCAACAATGTGGTTCTACAGAAGGATACTGAGAATTCAATGGACGAAGCTAGTAAGCAACAATGAAGTCTTGAAGGAAATGGCAACAGAAAGAACAGTTTTACTCAGAAAGACAGCCGGAATTCTTTGGACGTATAATGAGGAAGGAGTGTTTGGAAAATGTAACACACACAGGGCATATTGATCAGAGATAAGGGAAAGCAACAATTTATTTACCTAACGAGCTTATGTGAATGGACGGTGGGAGCTTTAGCAAAGGGAGAAAAACGATTATGTATCACACGAAATAGGAAGGGACACAGCACCAGGAAGAGAAATCATATTAAAATACTCGTCTGACCACGTCCGTATTCGAAACCGGGACAGAAGACTGATATTCTGATATTTTCATCTCAAAATCTCGGCACCCCTCGACCTAATTCGTGGAGAAAGGAATAAAAATAAATCTGAAGAAATAATTCTTTTGGATGTGGGCGATTGGTAAACCGATCCTAGAACGAGCAGACCACACCCATGAACCAAGCAACTAGGTTGTGTATGTGTGCATTCACCGATCCCGTCCATCCCTGTCAGTCCGTCGACTCGTCAACAAGTGAACCCACACCCGTTCGGATGAAATCTAAACGAATTAAAAAGAAGCGGTACCACTCCCAAATCGGTGCCCCACCCGAGAAACCCTATCTCACGGGGGTCTGCAGATGGCAACTGCTTCAGTAGCAAATAGACAAAAGGGATAATAAATTCTTTTTGCCATAATCCAACTGGCATTTTTACTTACATTCTGAAATCTTTCCGCATAGATTTCCGACTGGAAATTAAGTAAACCTGTTTCTAGATAAGCTTAGAATAGACTGACGTATAGACAAGGAATTTCGTTTTTTCTCCACACCAGTCTTCCTCAATCCAAATAGTAAAAGGTGAGATTAGCTGGTTCCTTATAAGGAAACATTCGGTATTCATTGACTGAACCGTTAGCCTTACTGTCGCTTGGAATTTATATTTCTCTTAAAACAGTTCTTCACGAAAAATAAGATTTGAAAGTCCATTGTTACCACTATTTCCAGCTATGATGGGGAATTGCTTCGTAACCATTTTTTAGAACAACTGGGGAACGCCAACATCTTAAATATATCATTATTTTCTCTTCTAGTTAAATGCTTGTTATACTGTGGCGAACGAAAAAAAAATTTTTCTTCTACCGAATGAATTCGAATCTTCGTCGCCACTTGTTATGGTCCTGTTCCTTGTACCACGGTGATAGTCCAAGGTAGAAAAAAAAATATGCCCATTGAACCCGTATAAACGGGTTCAGGGTCGGTTTACCTCCCCGAAAGAGAATCCGCCCTTCGGCGTAGCCTCTTTCGGGTTTCTACCCGACCGAGGGCAGAGAGTTCAACCGAACAGCTGGTCAGGTCTTGAACGACTGACTATATTTAGTCACCCCCCCACGTGGGCATCATGTGGCACAAGGCCGGTTTAACGTGGGATCTCCGAACACGTGGGCTCGGCCAAAAATATGCCCATTGAATCCGTATAAACGGGTTCAGGGTCGGTTGACCTCCCCGAAAGAGTATCCGCCCTACGGCTTAGCCTCCTTCGGGTTCCTTCACGCCCGAAGGCAGAGAGTTCAACCGATCAGCCGGTCAACTGATATCGACTTGAACGACTGACGCTATTTAGTCACTGCCCCACGCAGTCACATGTGGCACAAGGCGGAGTTTAATGTGGGGTTCCCGAGCCCGTGGGTTCGGCCAAAAATATGCCCATTGAACCCGTATAAACGGTCTCAGGGCCGGTTTACCTCCCCGAATGAGAATCCGCCCTTCGGCGGAGCCTCCTTCGGGTTCCTCTCCGCCCGAAGGCAGAGAGTTCAACCGAACAGCCGGTCAGGACTTGAGCGACTGACGATATTCAGTCCCAACACCCCCCACCCGGGGGCAGCATATGACACAAGGTCGGTTATTTATTGTGGGTTCTCCGAGCTCGTAGGCTCGGCCCCAAAATATGCCCATTGAACCCATATAAACGGGTTCAGGGCCGGTTTACCTCCCCGAACGTGACTCCGCCCCTCAGCGTAGCCTCGTTCGGATTCCTCCCCGCCCGAAGGCAGAGAGTTCAACCGATCTGTCGTTCAAGAGTTGAGCGACTGACGATATTAAGTCACCCCCCATGAGGGTGTCATGTGGCACAAGGCCTTTTTAACGTTGGCTTTCCGAGCCTAATGTCTCGGCCAAAAAATAGCCCATTGAACCCTTATAAACGGGTTCAGGGCCGGTTTTACCTCCCCGAAGGAGACTCCGCCCTTCGGCGTAGCCTCCTTCGAGTACAACCGAACAGTCGGTTCAGAGGTGAACGGCTGACGATATTCAGTCACCCCCACGAGGGTGTCATGTGGCACAAAGGCCTTTTTAACGTGGGCATTCCCGAGCCATTAGGCTCGGCCAAAAAAAACCCATTTGAACCCGTATAAACGGGTTCTGGGCCGGTTTTACCTCCCGAAGGAGACTCCACCCTTCGGCGTAGCCTCCTTCGGGTTCCTCCGCCCGTAGGAAGAGAGTTGAACCGAACAGTCAGTTCAGAGGTGAACGACTGACAATATTCAGTCACCCCCACGAGGGTGTCATGTGGCACAAAGGCCTTTTTAACGTGGGCATTCCCGAGCCATTAGGCCCGGCCAAAAATAGCCCGTTTGAACCCGTATAAACCTCCCGAAGGAGACTCCGGGTTCGGGGCCTCCGAAAGGTTTTCGCCCGTAGGAAGAGAGTTCCCAGAAGGTGAACGACTCAGTCGCCCTTCGGCGTAGCCTCCTTCGGGTTCCTTTCGCCCGTAGGAGAGTAGCCTCCTTCGGGTTTGAACCAAACAGTCAGTTCAGAGGTGAACGACTGACAATATTCAGTCACCCCCACGAGGGTGTCATGTGGCACAAGGCCTTTTTAACGTGGGAATTCCCGAGCCATTAGGCTCGGCAAAAAAAAAATAGCCCATTTGAACCCGTATAAACGGATTCAGGGCCAGTTTAACCTCCCGAAGGAGACTCCGCCCTTCGGCGTAGCCTCCTTCGGGTTCCTCCCGCCCGTAGGAAGAGAGTACAACCGTGCAGTCAGTTCAGAGGTGAACGACTGACAATATTCAGTCACCCCCCACGAGGGGGTGTCAGGCCTTTTTGTGGCATTCCCGAGCCATTGGGCCAAGGGGTTTTTAACGGGAATTCCCGAGCCATTAGGCTCGCTCAAAAAAACGACAATATTCAGTCATCACCCCCCATTTGAACCCGTATGAACGGGTCCCGTTTGAACCTGGTTTAGATTTACCCCGAAGGAGACTCCGCCCTTCGGCGTAGCCTCCTTCGGGTTCCTCTCGCCCGTAGGAAGAGAGTTGAACCGAACAGTCAGTTCAGAGGTGAACGACTGACAATATTCAGTCACCCCACGAGGGTGTCATGTGGCACAAAAAAGGCCTTTTTAACGTGGGCATTCCCGAGCCATTAGGCCCGGCCAAAAAATAGCCCATTTGAACCCGTATGAACGGGTTCTGGGCCGGTTTAACCTCCCCGAAGGAGACTCCGCCCTTCGGCGTAGCCTCCTTCGGGTTCCTCCCGCCCGTAGGAAGAGAGTTTAACCGAACAGTCGCTCAGAAAGTGAGCGACTGACAATATTCAGTCACCCCCCCCACGAGGGTGTCATGTGGCACAAGGCCTTTTTAACGTGGGCCATCCCCGAGCCATTAGGAAGGCTCGGCCAAAAAAGGTGAACGACTGACCATTTGAACCCGAGGGTGTATAAACGGGTTCTGGGCCGAACCCGTTTCTGGGCCTCCCGAAGGAGACTCCGCCCTTCGGCGTAGCCTCCTTCGGGTTCCCTCGCCCGTAGGAAGAGAGTTGAACCGTGCAGTCAGTTCAGAGGTGAACGACTGACAATATTCAGTCACCCCCACGAGGGTGTCATGTGGCACAAGGCCTTTTTAACGTGGGCATTCCCGAGCCATTAGGCTCGGCCAGTTGAAAAATAGTCAGTTCCATTTGAACCCGTATAAACGGGTTCTGGGCCGAACCCGTATAAACCTCCCCGAAGGAGACTCCGCCCTTCGGCGTAGCCTCCTTCGGGTTCCTCCCGCCCGTAGGAAGAGAGTTTAACCGAACAGTCGCTCAGAAAGTGAACTGCTGACAATATTCAGTCACCCCCCCACGAGGGTGTCATGTGGCACAAGGCCTTTTTAACGTGGGCATTCCCGAGCCATTAGGCTCGGCCAAAAAATAGCCCATTTGAACCCGTATAAACGGGTTCTGGGCCGATTTACCTCCCGAAGGAGACTCCGCCCTTCGGCGTAGCCTCCTTCGGGTTCCTCTCGCCCGTAGGAAGAGAGTTGAACCATGCAGTCAGTTCAGAGGTGAACGACTGACAATATTCAGTCACCCCCACGAGGGGTGTCATGTGGCACAAGGCCTTTTTAACGTGGGCATTCCCGAGCCATTAGGCTCGGCAAAAAATAGCCCATTTGAACCCGTATAAACGGGTTCTGGGCCGATTTACCTCCCGAAGGAGACTCCGCCCTTCGGCGTAGCCTCCTTCGGGTTCCTCCCGCCCGTAGGAAGAGAGTTTAACCGAACAGTCGCTCAGAAAGTGAACTACTGACAATATTCAGTCACCCCCCCACGAGGGTGTCATGTGGCACAAGGCCTTTTTAACGTGGGCATTCCCGAGCCATTAGGCTCGGCCAAAAAATAGCCCATTTGAACCCGTATAAACGGGTTCTGGGCCGATTTTACCTCCCGAAGGAGACTCCGCCCTTCGGCGTAGCCTCCTTCGGGTTCTCTCGCCCGTAGGAAGAGAGTTGAACCGTGCAGTCAGTTCAGAGGTGAACGACTGACAATATTCAGTCACCCCCCCCACGAGGGTGTCATGTGGCAAAAAGGCCTTTTTAACGTGGGCATTCCCGAGCCATTAGGCTCGGCCAAAAAAATAGCCCATTTGAACCCGTATAAACGGGTTCTGGGCCGATTTTACCTCCCCGAAGGAGACTCCGCCCTTCGGCGTAGCCTCCTTCGGGTTCCTCCCGCCCGTAGGAAGAGAGTTTAACCGAACAGTCGCTCAGAAAGTGAACTACTGACAATATTCAATATTCAGTCACCCCCCACGAGGGTGTCATGTGGCACAAAGGCCTTTTTAACGTGGGAATTCCCGAGCCATTAGGCTCGGCCAAAAAAATAACCCATTTGAACCCGTATGAACGGGTTCTGGGCCAATTTTACCTCCCGAAGGAGACTCCGCCCTTCGGCGTAGCCTCCTTCGGGTTCCTCCCGCCCGTAGGAAGAGAGTTCAACCGTGCAGTCGCTCAGAAAGTGAACGACTGGCGATATTCAGACCCCCCCACGAGGGTGTCATGTGGCACAAGGCCTTTTTAACGTGGGCATTCCCGAGCCATTAGGCTCGGCCAAAAAATAGCCCATTTGAACCCGTATAAACAGGTTCAGGGCCGGTTTTACCTCCCCGAAGGAGACTCCGCCCTTCGGCGTAGCCTCCTTCGGGTTCCTCTCGCCCGTAGGAAGAGAGTTGAACCGAACAGTCAGTTCAGAGGTGAACGACTGGCTCTCTGCCTACTCCTGAGGCGCAGTATTTATTAAGTATGGAATAATCCATTATTATTATTATTATTATTATTATTATTGGTAAGATCCCATAACAATGCTCTATACATTTTTGTTACTGCTGTTGGAATTCTTCAAGCGATGTGACGTCCTGGGCATGACGATAAACTACATCCGACAGCAAAGCCTCTGATCTGTATTAGCGTGGGACAACTACTTAATTATCTTTTTCTTCCCAGGTACGCCTTGATCTGGAGTAGTTTAATCTGTTAAGGGGTTATCTATGGGTAAATAGTAAACTCACAAGTTAAAACACTATGAAATGGAAAAGAGATTAAATGTAGTGAATACATTTTACTTTGCATGCGGACGAAGCCTGCTAGTATTTTATAAACTAAAAGAATTAAATCTCATTATTATACTGTTGTATATGACGCGTTCCACGGAGAAAAGGCGTATTCAACAGAAAAATCGAAAATTTTTCACTGTAAATTATTCATTCTATCATCTCCAAGCATTTTACAAGAATATAGAGCCGGTTACAAGCTCAATTTAGGTTTATAGTTTATAACCATGCAATGAGATGAGTTAACATAAACCGTAGATCTATCAGTAGAATATAATTAAGTTATTTTTACATAATTATAGATATATTGTGTGTGAAAATATATAGAAAATAGGAAAGAACTCGTTAGGTAAATAATCCAAAGTTCTTCAGTATTTTTGTTATTATTTTTCAAAAAAAAAGTGCTCGATACAAAAGTAGAGCCTAAATATAATTATTTATTTAAAAATATGTTTCCATCGCTTGGAATCATATTTTAAAATAAATAATCATATATATATATATATATATATATATATAGATAGATAGATAGATAGATAGATAGAGGGATATAGGAATAAGCGTGACGTCTATTTGATCAACATTTCTATTCTATCCTCTGTTACTATACGGTTCACTATACTATTCATTATTTCTACACTATTTCTCTATACTGATCGCTATTTTTACACTACTTCTCTATACTGATAATAATACGAATTACTATTCGGGAAGCACGGTGGACCACTAGCTCGGATTGTGGAATCGCAGAGCCGAGTTCAAATTCCAGTCGAATCCATTACATTCACTTACGTGCTAATACCCTTAGGAAAGGTATGAATCCTCTTCTGCTATGGGTAAATAGCAGAACAAACCGGGATCTGGTCTACCGCAGAAAGAAATGGCAACCTACTGCGAGAAAAGACCTGTCTCGTCAGTCATGTCTCGACAGATTCATTATCGCCTAAGCGTGTATCATGTATGGCACATAACTGACTGATTCACTGGTTACTTTTCGAACGAGTATTATCGAGTAAGTACTATTAGTACGAGTGATATTCGAAGGCGTCTGACACCAGCATTGTTCGACGGCGTTACTATAGTTGTATCTGCGATTACACAATCCCCATTACAACAAGCATTACGAAAGTGACAACGAGTGTTTGTTGACATCACAAAAGAAAGGCAGCAAACGTCACGTGCTTGTTTAAAAGGATAGCAGAAGGGCCAGCGTAGCCTACGCAAAGGGTGAGACACTACTAAGAGCCACAAGTGATAGGAAGTTATAGAGATCCATTATCCTATCTATCTATCTATCTATCTATCTATCTATCTATCTGTCTGTCTGTATATATATATATATATATATATATATATATATATATATATATATATTATTTTTTTAAAAAACAAACCACTTTAAGGTCCCATTATAATAATTTATTTCACCAGAGCCCTTTTAAAGGACGCTGGATCATCAGATACCACTTCTTTTGGAAGTGCTATCTGATGATCCAGCGTCCTTTAAAAGGGCTCTGTGAAATAAATTATTATAATGGGACCTTAAAGTGGTTTGTTTTTTTTAAAATAATATATATATATATATATATATATAAAATAATATATATATATATATATATTCTTTTGGAAGTGCTATCTGATGATCCAGCGTCCTTTAAAAGGGCTCTGGTGAAATAAATTATTATAATGGAGCCTTAAAGTGGTCTGTTTTTCTTTAAAATATTAGCTCTGGATTTACATTGAGCTCTCAGGATTTCGTCCTCCTTGGGACTACCCATATGGATTACCAAGTTTTTCATAACTTAAATATATATATATATATATATATACACTATAAATAAGTATTGTTGGTAATTTTATTATAAATATATATTCTTGGCATTTTTATATAAAAATGTATTTTTATACTTTCATAATGTTTTGTTTTTGTTTGGGATTCACTAATTACCCATAGTTGGGGCTCTAAAAAGTGCTACTCCCATGAGTCATGGTGAAGCTGGGAACACCAGCAATTAAGAAGTCCTTCGACGCCCCTCAAAATCTCCAATTACTCGATCAGAGGCTTGCTGGAGGATGTAGTTTATCGTCATACCCAGAAATAAATGTAACTCGTCCGTGTCAATAGCGATATAGTATTGAGAGGCTGGCGACATTTGGTCTGTGGCATAAGGGCTGCAGGGTGGAGAATAATTCATCACCCACAAGACCGCGTAAGCGGTTTTAAACTCTGTCGAGACTGGACAGTGTGGTTTCATCAACACTATCACGGCAATCATAAATAGATTCACCAAATTCTGTTGTACAAAGAGATTCTCAAATACCAGGAAATTTATTGAATAAGTCGTCATTTTGTAAAGTCAACGGAAATGGTTCTGAACATGTGTAGATTATGTTTTCCTAGATAAATACACATACTTAAAAATAAGATGGGCGTAACTGGCGACTTGTTTATTTAGGAAGAACGGTGGAAAGTGGATGAATACAATATGGCCGACTTTTCCCATTTTAGATTTGATTGAGTGTTGGATGGTCGCAGAGATGGCAAAATTATACCCATGCACTTACCACCCCTCAAATACACACATACACACACCCAACACATATATATATGTGTGCGTGTGTGTGCGCGCGCGTGTGTATACGCATATACATAAGAGGATGACTCTAGTTTCACGCTCAAGCGATCCTCAGACAGCTTAAACGTCCAAGTTGTCTGAAGATCGCTTGAGCAGGAAACTTGAGTTACGACTAGACCCATGCTTTCACAGAATTTAACACTGGTTTTTTGCTCGGTCAAGTCAATCTAGGCTTCGACCACTTTACTAAGTAGGGAAGTTTGCTTTCATGCCTTTTTTTCTTTCTTTATTCCGTATTGTCGGTTTTATTCGAGACTGTATCGGGATAAGAGTTTTAGATTTTGTCCGTTAATTCCACCAACGATTTTAATTTTTCTTTAATCTATATATATATATATATATAATTACATGAATCATTCATACAAAAAACGAATATAGAGGTTAATGATTTAAATGGCGAGAATACATACCGCAAACAATTTCAATAAGGTACACTAACTAAATATATCATTAAATCATTAACCTCTATATTTGTTTTTTGTATGAATGATCCATGTAATTATAAATTAAACTGCACCTATAATCGAAATATATATATATATATATATATATATATATATATATACAAGGTAGGACAAATTTTCTAACCCTGATCTTTTCATCAAATGTGGTGTCGGTGGTATTGAATCCTTTCTGATGCAATCACAATTCAGATTGGCTGGTCATGTGATAAGAATGAGTGATGATCGGATGCCGAAAATCCTCATATATAGCCAACTTTTTCATGGTAAGCGTAACGTAGGCCGTCGTTGGTTACGCTTCAAGGACAAACTTAAATACAATTTAATTGCTGCAAACATCCCTAGAGAGGAATTCGAACTTGCTGTTGAAAACCAAGCAATCTGAAGAAACACCCACTACCAAGTTATAGCTAACTTTGAAATGAATCGTCTCATCCATCTGAGAGAATTAAGAATTAACACTAAATCTCGGGCTAATACATCAATCCATATGACAGTCAACCCCTCAGTATGCCCTTCATGTGGATTTGTTTGCAAATCCCGCGCAGGATTGGTGTCTCATACAAAACATAAACATAAAAAAAGAACTGAAAGACACTCATACGTCGAAAAAGACAGGAGAGTCCATCATATATATATATATATATATATATATATATATATATATATATATATATATTGTGTGTGTATTTAGGCAGCATCTTTTCATTCATGCACGTTTCATTAAATAATATAGACAAGTGTTGTCTATTTATTTTATGTAATTTTTTTTTTCGTAACGTCTGATAAGATTGTGAATTTCTTTCTTCGTTCAACGATAATGTTATTAAGCTTATCAGACGTTACGAAAAAAATTTACATAAAATAAATAGACAACACTTGTCTATATTATTTAATGAAACGCGTATGAATGAAAAAATGCTGTCTAAATATACACAATTTAAATTACATGATCCAGCAGCCCACAATACTATCAATACTTGGAATTACAAATGTAGCCCTGTGAAAAGGCAAATTGAAATAGCAAAATATGTTGACATCTTTGATAATGACTTATGTAAGCCGAAAGCTTAGATTGTATTAAATAATATGGATCAATATTGGGAATTTCTTTCTTCGTTCAACGATAATGTTATTAAACTTATCGGACGTTACGAAAAAATTTTATATAAAATAAATAGACAACACTTTAATTTAATAAAAATCACCTGAGGATACCGTAAGGTTGAAACCAAGCTAGCGGATTCAACTGACCTGATTTTTCAAGTCATATATATATATATATATATATATATATATGTGTGTGTGTGTGTGTGTGTGTGTGTGTGTGTGTGTGTGTGTGTGTGTGTGCAGGTATGCAGAAAATAGAAAAGAACACGTTGGGTGCATAATCCGGGGTTCCTTAGTATTTTTGTTTTTCTTTTTAAGAAGACAGTGCTCCATACAGAAGTAGAGCTTTATTATAATAATATTTTTTGTTTAAAAATATGATTCCTTCGCTACATAAGAGTTCTCATGTTTCAAAAACGAGAGCCGAAACCATCCAAATAATTATTAAAATTAAGTTGAATTGTGGTGTTTAATCCCGTTTCATCTTCAAGCGAAATTTTAGGAATAAGCTATCTCTCGGTTTACGTGTGTTTTTAGGCATGGTCCGTTACAGAATTCGTTATTGTGGGAGTGGATTTTTAAACAAAAAATATTACTATATATATATATATATATGTGTGTGTGTGTGTGTGTGTGTGTGTGTGTGTGTGTGTGTGTGTGTGTGTCTGTGTCTGTGTGTGTTTGTGTGTACTAGTAATACTTTAATAAGTATAAGAAATTATACTCGTCCGAAAAATCTTCGGTGTCTTGATTTGCGAATAATCAAACCAATACCAAAGGGAAAAAAAAGGTATAAAAAAAGAAAGAACCAAGAACATGTACGTCCGCCGAAAATAATCGTCTCGCATCCAAGTCCAAAGCCCAAAGAAAAAAAACCAATAGGAGTAAGCAAAATAACTAAATAAAGTGCTCAATACGTTAAGTAGAGCAGACTTAGTGAAACCTTGGTAGGTTTGTCTGGCTCTCTAGGTTTAACTAACTAACTATCTATCTATCTATATATAAATATATATATATATATATATATATATATATAGCTAATATTAGTGGTAAATATACACATACATATGCAAGATGTATAAATATATATATACATAGGTGCATACACATACATGTATATTTTTTTAATAAAAAATTCCAAGAGGATAGAATCCATATATATATATATATATATATATGAATATTCAACCATTCTTTCAAACCTGTTTCGTTGAATATGACAGACAATGAAAATTTTTAAAAGTTTCGTATTGGTGCATTTTTAAGTTTTTCCATTTGGTGTTTAAAAATTGTCTAAGGTGTCTATTGTCCCAAGCGCTTAAGGCCACTTCCATAGCCACTTTCAACCAAATTTCCATTGTCTGTCCTATATATATATATATATATATATATATATATATATATATATATATATATATATATATACTTCTATTTTTTTTTAAAGCGAAAGAGAAAAAACTGAAATCTGCATATTTTTTTTCTTGGGGTCTGCATATAAAAATGTGAATGTCAAGAAAAAGGAAGTCTTTACACTCGGTAGTGAACAGGACATTAATACGCATAGATCCACAACAAGGCAGCCACACCTGTTTCGTTACGATATCTGACCACCCATTCACCTTTCTTATTTTTTTTTTTTGTTGTGGGGGGACTAGCCCACGTACAAGGCCGTGTGAATCTCGAGAAAGGCCTTTCACTGGGTCAGCTTGTCACAGAATGTTTCGATATAAATCATCTAAAAGGCGTATGAGTGATCAGTTGATTCAACAAAAGAAGATATATGTCTATGCGAGCATGGAGAATTTATGCAAGTTGGAAGTGAAAAACTTCTTTCTCGACTCTGAACATTATTGCTATTTTTAATTTTTCTCATTTTTTTTTTTTTTTTTTTTAAGCATTACGCCCCAAGCATGGCGGGAAGCTACTAGGATGCAGGGGGTTGCAGAAGATTTGGAGCGAGAGCAGATAGGAGTGATAGGAGAAAGGATGAAGAGAAGGATAGTGGATAGATCAAAGTAACTGGAAGTGTCGATTGACATTACATTTGAATAGTTGGAGATTATAGCTTTCAGGGAAACAGTAATTGGGAATGGTGTTCCACAGGCGAGAGGTGCGAGGTATGAAGCTATTGGAGTAGAAGAGACGGCTACATTTAGAAATTTCTATAGTGTAAGGGTGGGAGCGCGATGCCAGCCTCGTAGAGCGCTTGAATTCATGGAGTCTGGGAACCAGTGAAAGCAGCTCATCAGAGCAATTACCATGAAAGTATTTGTAGAAAAGACAGAGAGAGGCGACGGCGCGTCTGTGAGAGAGTGACTGTAGACGAGACGCCAGATCAGGGCCAATTAGATTACATATCTGTCTCTGGATCTTGTCAAGAACTCCGAGGTAAGCAGAAGGTGCCCCAGACCATATATGGCAGCAATACTCCATGCAAAGGCGAATGGTTGTTTTGTATATTTGAAGTATCCATTCCGGGGAGAAAAATTTACTGGCGCGGCACAGAGAGCCAACTTTCCTCGCGGTGGAAGAAGCAATTGACTCAATGTATTTGTTCCATCTCAGGTCAGCGGTCAACGTGAGACCGAGCAGACGCAGGGTGTTGCTCTCAGGAAGTTGACTATCAGACATTTTAATGGGGGGCAGGTAAGGATCTCTATGGTGGTTAATGGAGAGTAATTTAGTTTTTGAGGCGTTAAAGTTGACCAGCCAATTCTTGCCCCAGTTAACAACCGATTGGAGGTCCATTTCAAGACGCACGGCCAGGTTAGTTTTGTCGCCGACACTAGATTTGTTTCTGAGGCTCCTTCCTTATTTATTTTTTCTTTTTCTAAAATTTCCTTTGCTTTTCACTTTTAACTTTTCTCGTTCATCTTTCTCACATCGTTCTTTCTTAATATCTAATTATTATTATTAGTATTATTATTATAAAAAAAAAACCTAGATCTCACGCATTTTACATAGATAATGCTCTTCGTAATATGTGAACTGTACTTGTGAGTACAATTCATTGTATTTCTTTGAGGCTTAGGCTACCACGATTCCCTTCAGTATGTCTATCGGAATATTTTGCAATATTTTCCAATCAATCCGAGGGCTCCAAATTGTTGATGTCTTCACGTGCCACATTTTTGAGATTTCAACTTCAAGATGCTTTGTGTGGTATAATCAGAGTGTAAATTTACAGTCTGCAGGGACTGCCATGTCAATAAGAAAGCACATGATGAGCACGATGTCTGGGTGATGAGCTTTGATTGTTATCATTATTATTATTATTATTGGGAGATTAGCTTCGATTATTATTATTATTATTATTTTACATTGATGTCTTTACTTCTTCCGTTTGTATTTGATTGCTTTCTACACTTAATCTCTTCTTTTCTTTTCCTCTTACCTTCTTTCATTCTATTCTTTCTTTCCTCTTTCTTTCTTCTTTCATTCTTTTCTTTCTTCCTTCTTTCCTTTCTTTCTTTTTCCATTCTTTTCTTTCTTCTTTTTTTAATTTTTCCTAATTCCTTCTTCCTTATTTCATTTTTTCTTTCTTCTTTCTTTCGTCTTTCATTCTTTTCTTTCCCTTTTTTCCTTCTTTCCTCCTTTTCATTCTTCTTTTTTCTTATTTCTTCTTTAATTCTTTTCTTTCTTTCTTCTTTCTCCTTTCGTTCTTTTCTTTCTTCTTTTCTTTTTTTCTTTCATTCTTTTGTTTTTTCTTTCATTTTTTTCCTTCTTTCTTTCTTTCTTTCTTTTCTAAACTTATTCCTTCATATTTCCTTCCATTCTTCCTTCCGTTCTGAACCAACTGGTTCCTTCCTTGGCTACTTCTTTCTTTCCTTTTTTTTTCATTACTTACTCCCTTTCCGCTTGTCTCCTTTATTCTTTCTATCCAATTCAGTACCCCCTTCCTTTCATCATCTTTATTTCTTAACTGTATTCCCTTTTCTTTCTTTCTTTCTTTCTTTCTTTCTTTCTTTCTTTCTTCTTGCTCGCTTTTCTTCATTTTCCTTCCTTCCTTATTCACGTTTCTCTTTTATTAGCTTTATTTTCTTCTCACCTTTAACGCTTTTGAATAGATAGATTCACTCTTCACAATCCCAAACATTGTTTCTACAAGAAAATATCTGCGTTATTTTTTTCTACCTGAACAAAAGACCCGACAATGAGGTAAAAAAGGCCGCCAGTTGCTTTGACCAGAAACAATAATTCACATTATCAACGCAAATTATACCCAGGCCGAAAGACTTCGCTACACTTCTCACGAACTAGTTTTCTTTTCTTAGATTTTAATATGTTTTAAGCTTTAAAAATGGCTGCATCTTTTTTTCTCCTAACGCTTCCTAAACTTTCTCTCCACAACCATGCATTTGTATTCCATGACAATCTAAAATTAGACTCTAGTTGACCAATACGTGATTGAGAGTAAAAAGACCAGTTTACAAGGTCAGAAGATAAAAAAAAGGAAATTAAAAGTTCAGCTAATACTAGGATCAAGCAAGTGGGTTACTATTAAAATAGTGATAATGATCGAGGTGAGACACGAGTAAAAGCGAATATTATGATGGACAAAGATTGACACTTGACTTGAAGAGGATAAGATTATATTGCGTTCAAGGAGGAATCTACATGGGGGGGGAGAATGTTTCATAAGTAGAAGTTATTAGGGGAAAAAAGCTATACTTTTTCGATTTGCTTTATCTGAAAGATGATGTTTTAAGTCAAAGAGGAACTGGTATGACTGTGAAGCTATCTGTGGCCGATTGTTCTAGAACACGCCGGATCAAATGCTGGTTCCTCCTACGAAGTACGGCGCAGGTTCGAATTCTAGCGGAAGATATATTTTCCTTGGTCGATTTTCTCAAATGTGGAGGCCGGTAGACGAAATATAAACTTGGCCTTGTGCCGCATCTGGCCCCGTGGGGCGGTAGGTGGATATATCACTATCCGGATTACTTCGGAAGTGTGCTGGTCAAACTCTCTGCCTCCGAGCAGAGAGGAACCCAACGAAGCTGTGCCGAAAGGCAGTGTCTCGTCTCGGGAGACAGCACCCCGATCCTGTTTTTTACGGGGAATTTTTGGCATAGCCTACGGGCTCGGATACCCACGGCCTTGTGCCACATCTGACTGCGTGGGGCGTTTACTGAATATAATCACTATACGGATTACTATTCGGTGGTTACTTTTCGAGCGAGTATTATGTGTTGGGTGCAGTTGAGTAAGTGACCAACAAAGTAACACCAAAGATGATCTCGAGGCAAAGGATTATGGCAGCATTCACCAGCTTAAACAAGGAGACTGCCCAGAAGAGATGCAGCAGATTCCGAAGTCGTCTGGAGGCCGTGCTTGAAGACAATGGCGACTTTATTGAACAGATTTTCTGTGTAGTATTTCAAGATATTTTTATGTAATTTTGGTAAATATATCTGTTAAAATGTCAGTGTTATTTTCATTTTTGCGTAATTTAGACGATAATTTATCCATCGCACCCTGTATTACAGACATTTTTAGAATTGAAATAAATGTATGACTAGAAAAAAAAATGAAGCTTAAAAAAATACGAATAACGCACAATCCAAAAGAAGACGTACACTCCCTTCCTGAATATACTATCTCCTTTCTTCAAAATAACATTCAAATAATTATTTTAATAAAATAACAATAGATAAATCATGTCCGTTTTTTTTGTTTTTTTTTTGTTTTTTTTTCCCAGTAAACGAAAATTGTACCAATGACAATGCAAAGTGGATTCCGTTTGTACTACTCAGTAAGGGAGACAATCCCTCTTCCGCTTCGTTTTTTTTTTGTGGGGGTGGGGGGCAGGCTGACTTTTTCTAAGTACTTGTACCAAACAATGTCACACGCACTAACTGCTCCATAAGTGGTTGTTTTATGATGTCATTAGATCCGTCCAGATCCGCTAAAATTCCTACTAACAATCAAGAGTGACCATTTAATGGCTAAATGCACTCCATCAAAAGACCCCGATATCGATATTTAAAAAGTCGCTTAAAAAGGCTTCGTACTTGCAGTTTCAGTGAGAAAAGCCCACTCGTGACGTATTTCATAAAATTAGCGGAAGCCTTGAAGAGCAGTGCGTTTCGGTCCGGTAATAAATAAAAAGCTATATATATGTATACATATACACACACACACACACACACACACACACACACACACACACATATATATATATACATATATATATATATATATATATGTATATATATATATATATATATATATATATATACACACACATATATATATATATATATATATATATATATATATATATATATATATATATATATATAGAGGATCAAGTTTGACAAAGGTGCTTTTGTTTTGATTTTTCTGTACATTATGAATGTAATAATTTTCCAATTATTTTTTTTAAACGCATTCTGCTTCTTGGTTGAATTTATGAAAACTTGTTTATATGTACATACGACTATATCTATCTATCTATCTATCTATCTATCTATCTCTCTCTCTCTCTCTCTATATATATATATATATATATATATATATATATATATATATATATAAAGGAAAATCATTATTGATAATACGTAGGAACATCTCGAGTTATAAAAGTGGGTTTTCACGAGTCTATTTTCAAATATAAAATTGAAAAATTACATCCTTTCCCTCAAGAAAAAAAGCCGGATATAAGAGAGTTGTCGGGACCAGAGAAGAAGTCTCTTATATCCGGGTTTCTCTTATATCCGGGTTTGGTCTATTTTATATACATTAACACAGGCTCTAATTTGGAACCAGAGAAAATCTGTCTTATATGCGGAATTCTCTTATATCCAGGTTTGGTCTATTTTATATACATTAACAGGCTCTAATTTGGGACTAGAGAAAATCTCTCTTATATCCGGGTTTCTCTTATATCCGGGTCTCTTACATCCGGGTTACACTGTATAATATTCCCGTCTGAATGTTTAATTAGACATATTATGATATTAAAATTTCGCTTGTTTTACACTTGAAAGAAAAATTTATCATAATCAGTGTATCATATCCATTCATGGCTTGGTCAGTCATGGCTCTCCACAGCTTCCTGCCTGTTACTTTCACTAATTCTTACTGCTTTGCGAACTCTCTTTGTTCCTGTGGTACATGTTCATTTACCAATTTGTTAAATTTTTAAAGTAGTTACTTGCTGCTTCACTTGCTTTCGATATTCCTTGTGAGTATCAATTTTCCAAACCTTCTTTCCTTAGTATCTCCCCACACAATTTCAGTTATCCCTTTCTGAATATTATATATTTCGACATTCTTTTAAACTTCTTCAGAATATTCTGTCGCTAGAATGGGAGTTTATGCCTTCAATGTTTTTTTTTTGTTTTTTGTTTTTTTATCTTTATTAAATTTCAACATAGAAAAGATCTCTTCAAATATTAACAGATCTGAAATGTTAGGAATTTTAAGAGATATGGTAATAGTAATGATTAACTGGTGCCTTATAAGGAAACGTATGTCTTTCACTGACCAAGCAGACAGTACTTTTGTCGGTTGAAATTTATAAAATCTTTCTCATAAAGCAATTTTTCAGGAAAAGTTTTTAACAAGTTCACTGTCATCGTCCTTTTCAGTGTCAATAGGGGTTTTCTTCCTAACCTTTTGTTTGAAGTAGTCTGGAACGTTAATATCTTGATTATTCTCTCTTCGAGTTATATCCGTTTTAGTTGTTGCTCTTGATGGTAGCACTCAAATGATGGGGCTTTTGTTATTTAGTACATTCTTTGTTCCCGATTGTGTAGCGCCAGTCCAACTTGTTCAAAGAAGGGTGGTCTTTGCTAAATCCCACCTCTTCACTCGTTCCACCATTTCACTTCACCATTTTAGCCAGTTATATGAGGAAGCGATTGTTTACAGCAAACAGTTTTAGATACTTCTTAACAGGTCTGGCGCCATGCATGGCATTCGTATGGAAGTGTTAATCTGACGAGGCTATTTAAGAAATATGACTCGAGCTTACAGGTTAATATTTTGGTTTTGCAATAATCGAAAACTTTTTCTTTATTCCAGACATTTTTCTTTTGATGATATATTGATCATTCCAGCGGTATCAAATTTTATTTCAAGTCCCAGAAATACTATTATATTTAAAGTTACAATTTAGAAAAATGAGTTAACTTAAACACTTTATTTTTTTTTTCGTTTGTTTTTTTTTTTTCCAATATGAGTGAATATAAAAAAAAAATTATAAGGAAAATGTCATCAACTTTCTAAAACTGACAATCTTGTTTTAACGTTTCTTAACGCCGGAAACTCTTTCTTCTCTCTCTCTCTCTCTCTCTCTCTCTCTCTCTCTCTCTCTCTCTCGTTTTCCCCAACTTCTTTTCTCCTTCATTTCAAAATCTCTAGAAGTGAAATTGCTTTGTGAAAGTCACACAAAAGAAACTCTTTTCGATTTGTATTTAAACTGACAGAGAAAATGGCATTTATCGTTAAGCTCCTTATTAGTCGCTTTCAGGCTATTGAATTTTATTTTCATTTTTTTTTTTTTACACTATTCATTACGTGGTGGTAGAAATAACGTCTTTTGAAAAGCTCTGCACTGTTCGTAATGTGAGAGAAACGTCTGCAGAAAACAAATACATATATAGAATGGCGTATATAAACAGAAGCGTCACATTGCTTCTTAGAAAAGTGTAGTAATAATACATTTTGAAATGACTTCCACCTGACATATAAAACATAATTCAAGCGTATAAATGTATTCTTCATGAAAATGCGTGTGTTTACACATTTATTACCGAGGCAAAAGTTTACTTAATGTTATAGAAATCTTAGAAGTGCCGTTTAACTTTGCTCAAATCTTTCTTATGTTTTAGCATCCCGTTACCACTTTCTTATCAATGTTGAATTTTTTACAATTTTGTGCAAATGGTGGATCAGAGAGCCTACTCAGCTTAGTAAATATTCTCAGGAAATATCAGCTTCTAATCGGTCAATAAACATACAAGTGGGCTTTGCAATCCACCCACGTACAAATATATTACAGCGCGTGACCAAGTCAAGTTTTCCCGCCATTCTCTCTTCTCCTCCCTTTTCCTGCGAAGATGTGACCTTTTTGCGGGCCAGCCTTTGCGTCGCGACTTGTGTCAGTTTCTCCTCCCTTGACTTGAGGTGTTTGGTCAGGGATCCTCTCCATTCGGATCGTATGGCTGCAAGGCTCTCCCAGAACTCTGTCCACAGCTTTCATGTCGCGTCTCACGACATCGCGGTACCGCAGCTGTGGCCGTCCGGCGGGTCTCCTTCCAGCAGCCAGCTCACCATACAGGAGGTCTCTTGGACATGGCCCAACCAACGGAGTCTGCGCTGTCTGAGTAGTGTGAACATGCTGGGCAAAACTGCACGAGACGAGACCTCAGTGTTGCGCACCTTATCTTGCAACGCTATTCCGAGTGAAACTACAGCAACTGAAGAAGCCTAACGCAGCATCGAAACAGCAATACATCAAACTTCTGAGCGACCCGGATCTGAAGGAAAAATATATGGACAGTGTGAAACGATACGAGGCACTAAATGGGAATGGAGACTAGAAATGGGACAAAGAAAAGCTTTTGTGACATCAGCAAACGATATCATCCCAAAGGAGAATGGACGAAGAAGAAAAAACGAATGCATAACAGATGAGATTTTCGACATGATGCAAAGGAGACAGGGAATTCTGCCAAGATACGAAACGAAATAAAGAAAACTACACCACGTAACCACGACCAAACGCATGCAAGCTAAAAAGAAGTGGCTAAATAGTGCAGAAATAGAGACATTGAGTACCACAGACACAAGAGATATGCATAAAAAAATAAGGGAACTAACAGGACAGAAGAGGTGATCGCCAACAGGCTGCATATAATAAAAGGATGGAACACTCATATTAGAGAAGAAAGAACACATCAGCGGTGGAACGAATATATGTGAAAACTCTTCCAGAACAACCGGCAATACACAGAAATACTGACGGGTCTGAAATTCTAATAAACGAAGTAGAAGTGACAATAGCCAGATTGAACAGAAACAAAGCGGCGGGGCCAGCCGGAATTGTAACAGAGATGCTCACAGCCTTAAATGAATTTGGCATAGACATTATTGCGGAAATAATAAAATGAAATCTACAACAGTGGGGATATACCTGAAGATCCACGCAGATCTATTTCCATGGCAATGCCTAAAAAAAAAACAGGCGCAAACGAAAGTTAACTCCACCGAACAATCAGCCTAATGAGCCACATAAGAAAACAAATCATCCGTATTCTGATGAAAAGAGCGCGCAACAGAATCAGGCCAGAGATAGAACAAAAACAGTGCCGGTTCTTTAAAGACACCGGAACAAAGGAACGCGATATTCATACTCAGAATGTCATCAGAAAGAAAATGGAGAAGGACGTGCACCTGTGTTTTATAGACTACGCAAAGGCGTTCGACAAAGTACGCGACAAAGACCTTATAGAGCTGCTCAGTAAGCTTGACATATTCGGGAAAGGCATAGAATAATCAAAACCTTTACTGACAGTATAAAAAAAAGAACGAGTTCAGCAAATATACAAAAATCTATTTTTGTATATCTGCTGTTATACTTTCGTATAAGGGGCGTAAGGCAATGGTGTGTCTTCTCACCGGACATATTCAACTTATACAGCGAGGCAATTCTGAGAGAACTAGGAATCCTAACAGGATTCATCATTGGCGGTCACAATCTTAACGTATGCAGATGACACAGTGCAGATAGCAGACACGGAAAAGAATCTACAAAACCTGCTACAGAAGCTAGAGAAGGAAAGCGAGAAGAAGGGACTAAGCATAAACTACAAGAACACAGAATGCATGGTCATCAGTAAAAAGATAAGCCCGAGATACAATTTACAGGTAGGGGTCACTATAATCAAGCAAGTGTGGAAATTTAAATATCTGGGAAGTCTTCTGACAGAGGGCAGCAAGTGCGCCGCTGAGATCCGAAGACGTATTGGAATGGTGAAAACGCATTCCAAAAGCTAAGCAGAGTATTAAGAGACAGGAAAATTTCGTTTGTAACAAGGAAAAGTGTACTGAACTGCTACGTGATATCTGTACTTCTTTACACCAGCGAATATTGCACAATCTCATCAAGGATGAAGGAGTGACTCACGGCAACAGAGGTGTGGTTCTACAGAAGGACGCTAAGCATATCATGGGCTGAACATGTCAGTAACGACGAGGTTTTAAAGAAGATGCAAACAAAAAAGAAACTTATATTTAGCATCAGGAAGAAGCTGCTGAAATTTCTCTGCCCTAAAAGTCCAACCCCTCCTCAACGTGACAGGGCGGTGGCAATGTAGTAGTGCCAGGTCTATGCCGTCGGGAACTTCGGTTCCTGGTAGGGCCACCAAGTCGGATTGGTCTGGCACCCAGCGGTATTAGGGCCGCAACCCGGTTAAAGGGGCTCTGGTGAAAATCCAGGTGTTTGTTCCGGTAACCGGCGGTATTTACTTAACTCCCACGGGGTCAAGATGTGACAAAAGGTCGTTTTTCGTGGGAAACCCGAGCGTTTCCGCATAGGGTCACTGGTCAAAGATTGGTCATAACATGTTCAAGCTGGTCAATGTTTTGATCATAACATGTCCAAGCTGGTCAAAGCTTAGTCAAGTTCTGGTCCAAGTTGGTCTTGGCTTGTCTTAGCGGGTCCTGATATGGTCCAAACTAGACTTAGTAACCGGCGGCCTCGCGTCGCTCTGTCAATGGGTCTGTGGAAAATCTGCGGCAAACAAGGCGTTTTTTTCCCTTTACCATGGGCTGAACATGTGAGCAACGATTAGGTTTTAAAGAAGATGCAAACAAAGTGGAAACTTATATTTAGCATCAGGAAGAAGCTGCTGAAATTTCTGTGACATCTAATGAGAAAGGAGGGTTTGGAAAATCTGAGTCTCACAGGGAGGATAGAAGCAAAGAGAAACAAGGGAAAGCAACGCGTGATATACTTAACGGGGTTAAGCAAATTGAGTGCGGAAGAGGGTCGAGGAGAAGTAGCAGAAAGACAAAACTTCTTGAGAGCTACAAGGAACAGGAAGGAATGGAGAGCCATGATCGCCTACGTCCTGAAGGGACGCGGCACATAAAACTCTATTGTAACATAAAAAAATACACACACCTATACACACAAATACATAAATAAAATTGTATGAAAAATTGTATTAAAAACAAAAAAGAACTCTCAAGACAATTAAGAACTAAATTATATATCTGTATTTTAAATGGCTTGTTTGAAAACCCCATTGCACTAATGCTATGACAATGCTCTACCGTATTAACGCATCGTTAATGGGATTTTCTAATCGCAGCTTAGATATGCTCTTGACCGAAAGTATGGGAAATCCAGGGACGATCGAGCTCATGACTCAGTAGCGAGACAAGCTTCTTAACCATTACATCACGTCGAGGATCCCCTAACGTTGGCTTAAGACTTGTTTGTCTTGAATATGGCAATTTTACTTCCTTTAGTTATCTACCTTAAGCACAGATTTTTTTCATATTTAATCTAGAAAAATGCAATGGATCTAACTGTAATGATTCAGTAGGTGTATATAAAAACCGGTTTTAAAGGAAAATTGTCCAAATCGTGTAACAGCAAAATTGTCCAATTGTTAGATTAAGCTTTGAACCGTTGTATCTTAGAAATGATTAAAGATATCTTACTGGAATTCTCCGAGGTGCCAAATATTAGATGTAGGTTTACATTGGCTTTCGCCCAAGCTAAACCATCGTTTTTTTTTTGGGGGGGGGGTTGTTTTGTTTTTTGCTTTATATTTTTACAAAAATTACTTTTTATTTTTCATCATTAGCCACAATATTTTTAAGTGGAAAATTCAGTAGATTACCAAAAACGGCGATGTCAATTCTTGATTTACGATTTGCTTCTGTCAAATCATAGTGACGTTTTGTTTTTTTGTTTTTCTTTGTCTTTTTTAGCTAATCTTCAATCATGAAAAGAGGTATTTCTATCAAATTCAGCCAAAGCTGGTCATCGTCAAACTCCAAACTTTTTCGTAGCATGTCATTTCGGATTAAGTCTACTGCTCTAAACTTTTCAATCCATTTTCGACCAATTCTTTCGTCTAAAGAATATTACCTCATAAACACTATAAATTGTTAAATATTTTAGGTTACTACTAAAGTATTATTGTTTCGTCTTTTTCTTAGACACATATAAAATTACATATTGTATGCGCTCCGTACATACGACCAACATAAGGCGGGTCATTTTAGTAGTCAAGTAAACTTGAAAAACAGAACGAACACTTAATATTTAAGTGTAATAGAATAACGAATATATAATTTAATCTAAGGTTATCAGATTTCGGACATTATATGAGAAGACCTTGTATAATGATTTTCCAAGCATAGCTCAGATGTGGCACAAGGTCGAAAGTATGGGGCACACAGTGAGGATCGCACTCACTAATCAGTATATATATATATCATATTGTGTCACCCTCACTATGTCTTCCCAACTGAGAAATGTTTGAGGGAAAAAAATCATACAGCCCTTCAGTAATGGTACCAACATTCATACTCTGGCTTTCATCTTCAAAATCAATTGAAGAGTATATATATATATATATATATATATATATATATATATATAGAGAGAGAGAGAGGGGGAGGCACGGTGAGGTAGTGGATTGAGGAATCGGCGAGCCGAGTTCGAATTCCAGTCGAATCCATTACATTCACTTACGTGCTAATAACCTTCGTATGAATTCTCCAGCTATGGGTAAATAGCAGGGCAGATTGGGTTCTATAGCCTTGGATGGCATCTGGTCTAGGAGAAAGACAACTCTGAATTCAAAACTTGCGGAGGGTAGTTTGGGGACTTTATATTCAGCCCTTCAAAAAGTGTGGATGGTCCTGCACTAAACCTTCACCACTATAATCAAATCTCTGGGCTGTCGGTTCATTCTTACAAAAAATAGATTAGTGAAGTTAATGATATAAATGGCGAGAATACATCTTCGCAGACAAATTTATTAAAATTGCATTAACTCACGAACATCTAGATGAATGTTGTGATCCCTGTTTTTAATAAATTCCACTTGTATAAGGTCTTTTTTTTTTTTGCTAGTACTTTCATCTGTTCATACAGACATCAACAGGAATGGAAATTGATTTGTTTTTTTAAATATATATATATATATATAAATATATATATATATATATATATATATATATATATATATATATATATATATATATATATATATATTTTATATATATATATATATATATAAATATATATATTTAAATATATATATATATATATTTATATATATTGTTGCAATGCCGAGTTCGAATCTGACGATGGTGGATTTGTGTTGGTCTAGATGGTCGTCTTGATGGTATCGGTCTGGAAAGTGCCGTCTTGGTGGTATCGGTCAAGGAAGGCGATCTCATCGTGCGACATCTTTGGAAAATACCCGAAAGCAATGCTACGGATTGACACAAGCTCTGTAAGTAAAAATTTGGGTAGACAGAACTCTTTGAAAAACCGTCGATGGTTGTACTAACACGAAGCTGTGACTGGGGTTTGATTTTGGCGGGGTTTTTGGGGTTTTTCTTATAGTCGTCTTGGTGTGGTAGTTATTAAAATACACGAAGAAGTGCTAACTATCTTTTCCCCCCAAACCAAAAGACTTTTGGAAATACGGTTATGTCTGGCTTCTCACTCGGTGATGTACTTTATGTACAATGAGGATGATTTTGCTTCATAAATAAATTCTAAGTAAACATCTATATTTAATATTTTCTTTTTAATAAATACTAATATTTTTTTCATAGTCTGAAAATCAGATATTACTTAGAGGATATGGTGTTTCCCAACGTGGGCGCTGGAGCCCCTTTTTCGGCCCTGTTATGTTGAAAGGGTGCACTGGCAGTTATTTTTTTTTTATTTCATTGGTGGGGTGAACATCCTCAGTGGGGTGGTGAGCCATTTTTTTTTTCAAATTTTCAAAATTATTCAAAATTGTCTACAAAAGCTAATTTTTAAAAGTTGTCTAAAGCTGTGAGAAGCTATCAAACTTTTCTTCATTACTTTTCTAACTTTCTATATCACTGAATGCGGTTTAAATGCAGTTACAGTGCAGTTACACAGTTTCTTGTTAAACAGAGAAAATGCCTGATATCTCATACAATTTTCCTCAAACTCTTTACTGTTCGTCGCTTTTCGGATTATTCTTACCGGTTGTAAATGACGACCTTTTCGTCACAGTTTCACTAGACAATCAATACCATTTTTTATCCATGTCTTTATTCACTCAGGCATCGGACAGAGCGGATCAATGACAACCGATATGGTTGTAACTTTCTTCAACTTCCAAAAACCTGCGAGAACAGACCTCAATAGGTCATAGTTGATTGCTTTCTTTTCTTCCTTTTGATCTCTTCTTATATCGAAAGGGTATAATGGAGTCACAATTAACCCTTCCTTTTCTGTTTTATCCTCTACTAATATGCCCTGTTTTTACACTCCAGTTTCTTGTCTGTTTCTATTGAAAAATCACACAAATCTCGAAAATATTTTTAGAATGTAAGACATTTTGTTTTTGAGATAATAATTAAATTAAACGATAACTTGTAGAGAGTCGGTGGAGCCATACCTTTCCCAAGAGTATTTGCGTAAACCTGGAATTGGAACTCATCTCTCCGCTTAACAATTCCAAGCCATTATCCATTACACCACCTGCACATCCAAGCTGCACATCCTAGACACTGGCCAGGTTCAACGATGCTTAACTTCTGTGATCATACGAGAACCGGTGTTTCAACCTGATGTGACTAGGGTGTGGATTCTATTTTCTCAATTAAGATTTATATATCTGATAATTAATGCATAGATAATGGACTACAACTAAATTATTTCCAAATATCCTTGCAGTTGCTAACCGGGTTCGTTTCTGTTAAAGTTCCACTGGGCAATCAATGCCAATTTTCTTTATTCATGTTTCCATTCTGTCAGTCATCGTATCAAACGAACCAATGATATCTGGTATTATTATGACTTTTTTCATGTTCCAAAACTTTGCCCGTTCAATTGTCAATGGGCCAGAGTCAATTCGTTTCTCTTCTTCCTTTTGATTTCGTATCATTTTTATACAATTATTATTCTTTTTTTTTATGTCAGTGCCGCACATTGGACGTAGTCAGTGGAAATTCTGTTTTTGATGTATGGTGTCCACAAGATTCTTTACAACTGTTGAAACTTGACTAATGCATGGAATAATAATGCAACACAAAATGTACTTAGAACAAAATATATTGAAACAAGAAAGTGTACACAATATTTACATATAGTCTTTTGTATATTCCTGGTAAGACCGTTACTGGAGAATGTGTTGACTGAGTCGCAGTCGGGCAGAGTCTCTGGTTGAATCTCTTGATTCCTCCCTCTCTTCCCGGTACCAACCATATTTATATGGTTGGTACTCCACTATGCAAATTAGGTGGATCCTACCACAACAACAACTCAAGATTTCGGAGAATTCTTGCAAAGTAAATGATGGCAGATTTCTGGAGCTCTACAATCTTGGCGTCATTTCCAGTTTCCCTTAAGGTCTCTTTCATCATCATTATTATTATTATTATTATTATTATTATTATTAAAATTTCCTTGTATTTCTATTGTATACACATTTCCTTCCGTATCACAACCAAAGACCTAAGTTCAGAAATGGCTTCATGACATCATCCACTGATCACTTTTTGTAAAGAAAAAACTAAGATTACACACATTCTATACTTCTTCGTAATGTGTGAGTTGTACTTGTGAGTACATTTTTTTAATTTCTTTAAGGATTATTATTATTATTATTATTATTATTATTATTATTATTATTATTATTTACATGATTGTTTTAAAATCAATACATTTTACAGTTTTCCGAGTTAAACCTCATATCTTGCGACCTCTAGCCGAATTTTGCAACCAGTAAGCGTTCCTCGTAAAATTTCAATTCAAAATTTATTGTGCTTTCTTGATTTCCCCCTTAAATTCTTCCAGATTTCAGAAAGGCACGTTAAATACGTAAATATACATCCCCACTGTGACATCACTGTAAGCAATTCTGGTGAGACGTAGGCTTTCTTTCTTCTCCCGCGCCACTCGTTTCCGCTTCCGTTCACGAGCGTTTAAATTTCAGATAAATATGTAATCTCTTCTCGCCATCATATTTCCTTCTCCCGGCAATACACACACACCACAAATTCTTTTCTTTTTTTTCCGCTCTCTGTCTCTCTCTCTCTCTCTTTTTCTCCTTTTGGTTCTAATGTTGCCATCATCCAAAATGACGTCATGATTGGCGCTTGAGCGTAATTGATAGGATTCCACCCCCGCGCAAAGTAGAAATAAGGATATGCGGAGGATAGCTTCTTACATCTGAAAAATGTCAAATGCCAACTTGTTCAAAGTATAGTGGCCGAATACAAAGAGAACGGAAATTTACTTTTTTTTAAGCAACAACAACACACACACAAACAGACACCGACACATACACAAACACACAGGAACACATACAAACAGACACCGACACATACAAACAGACACCGACACATACACAAACACACAGGAACACAAAATAAGCTACCTATAAGTATATTATAGGAATTGAACAGGAAAATAATTACCTTACTTCGAAATCTCTACATATCGCTTCCTAAAATCTATTACTCAGCAACAGAAGACCAGACAATATTCAATTCCCGCGTCCGTTTCAGATGATTCCAACTTTTAGGCTGTTCTATCTATCTATCTATCTATCTATCTATCTATCTATCTATCTATCTATCTCCAGTCTTTTCATATCTATCTATCTATCTATCTATCTATCTATCTATCTATCTATCTATCTTCAGTCTTTTCATATCTATCTATCTATCTTCAGTCTTTTCATATCTATCTATCTATCTATCTATCTATCTATCTTCAGTCTTTTCATATCTATCTATCTATCTATCTATCTATCTTCAGTCTTTTCATATCTGTCTATCTATCTATCTATTTCGGACTGTCTGTCTCTGTCTCTGTCTCTCTCTCTGTCTCTCTCTCTCTTGTTCTCGTTCTCACTGTGTGTGTATATATATATATATATATATATATATATATATATATATATATATATATATATACAGTGAGAACGAGAACGAGAGAAAGAATGGTATATTTATGACACATATATATATGTTATGATATATATATATATTATGATATATATATATTATGATATACATATGATATATATATATATATATATATATATATATATTAAGAAATGGACAAGGTCCGACAATTTATTTATTAAAGACATTTTTTATGTTTAACGTTGTTATTTATAGATACAAGTATTAAAGCAAATGAGAAATTTTATGATAAACAGTATTTAAATAAAATTACCGGTCATTCAGGTCGGTAAATTTTTTAATAATGTTTTTCATAAACAGAGCGGACTTAAAACTTGTAAATATAAATAAACTAACGTTAAACATAAAAAAATAAATTTAATAAATATATATATATATATATATATATATATATATATACGAAGAAATATAGTTTTGCTATATTTACGGGATAACGTGCACAATATCAGAGATAGGGCGTATGTAAATATAAATATAAAAGTGAACATTGAAGTCAACACTTAGAGCCGACAGGCTGTTTCATGCTAGGCGCAATCGTCAGGCCTAACGAATGCGTCTAGCATGAAACACCCTGTGGCCTCTGAGTGTTGACTTTAATGCTCACTTTCACATATATATATGTGTGTGTGTGTGCGTGCGTGCGTGTGGGTGTGTGTATGTATGTATGTATATATCATTTTCATTTATTTGACCTTCATGAAATATATCTCCCGAAATTAATATCCGATTAATGCATTTCGCCTCTATTGCTTCATCAGATGTATAATGAGAAATGTTTTGTTCGTTTATGCATTTGTGTGTGTTTAAAATAATTAAATCTTATGTTATTTTTTCCCATGCTGGCGTTGCTCGAGACTAAAAAGAGAGAGAAAACGAGTGACTTTTAACAAATCTTTTACCCTTTTTTGATATTCTCCGCTTTTTAAGTGCCTGAGTTTTGAGATAGAAAAATTTTAATATAGGTAATGAAGAAAAAACGAAAATTAACAAAATGATAGCAAACAACCAAAAAAAAAAATCAGAAGGAAAAAGAATAAGAAAAAAAAATTAAAATGAAAGAATTAAAGTTTAATTAAGTCAAAGAGACTTAGAATTATATCAGAAAAGAAAAATATCATTTAAAATGGTATAAAATTTACTATTCCTTACACGTTGAGAGGACAGCCAAGTTTCTTTCCACAAATAACTTTCCGACGCCAATGAATGATAAGTTATCAAGTTTTATAGGGTAGGCTAACCCTCCTACTACAGTTTGGCGGGGAAAAAACTATCAAAGAATTCATTAAACAAAGGGGTAGAGGCAAGGAAAAAAGAAAAAAATACATTTCGGTTCATTTCTCAACGTGCTAGCCAGTAAAAGATAAATTTAAAATTTTCACTTAAAGAGAATTCAGTTAAAGAGCAGAACATTGTTAAATAAGTACACCTGTAGCCACATGAAAAATTATTATTATTTTTATTTTCTTTGATTTCTGGCGTTGACACATTTCTTTCCGGCTCCCGCCCAGGGACCTAAAGTTAGAAACGGCGTCATGACACTTTCCACTGACAAAAAAAAAAAAATTAAATTACATAGATAAAGCTCTTCGTAAGGTGTGGGCTGTACTTGTCCGAACAATTTTTTGTATCTCCTTGAGGCATGGACTTCCAGGAATCCCTTCAATTAGCCTACTGCAATCTTTTCCAACCAGTCCTAGGGCTCCAACTACAACAGGGACTGTTGATGTTCCCATATGCCACATTTTCGAGATTTCTATTTCAAGGTCCTTGTATTTTGACAACTTTTTGAATATCTTCAAAGATACATTTCAGTCAGCAGGGACTGCCATATCAATAAGGAAGCACCGTTTTTGTTTGTGGTCTTTAATAACAATATCTGGCCGATTGGCCTTGATTGTTCTGTCAGTGTGTATTGTGTAGTCCCATAGAATTGTAACAGATCCTATCTCCGTAACCGGGTCTGGGTGGTGTTCATACCAGTTTCTTTCAATTTCCTTCCCGTAGAAGTTGCAGATTTTCCAGTGCAGATATTGGCCCACTCTGTCATGTCGTGTTTTATATTCAGTGGGTGGCAACACCGTGAAACCTGATACAAGATGATCAATCGTTTCTGGATATTTATCACAGAATCTGCATTTTGGGCTGACACAATATTATTATTATTATTATTATTATTATTATTATTATTATTATCATTATTCACGAGAGTGTAGAAATGTCTAGGTTAGTGTCCAGGATCACAGTAAGCCCGAAGTGAGTCAGATGCCTCTAGTTTTGCTAAAATATGTTGCGGAGGGTGGTGTTCTCTGAGTCTTGGTTGGTAATCCACATAATGTTGGTATCACAAAACTAAATACACGATGTCGGGAATAACCCAACCAAACCAACTCATTCGTGCAATAAATGAAATAAATAATAAACTAATAAACAGCCAAGACTATAAGTTATTGACATTTGGAAAAACGTTCATGAAAAAATATGTCCGAAAACAATAATCCGATTAATGCATTTCGCCTTCATCAGGACGTTTTTTTCCAAATGTCAATAACTAATAACACTGTCGGGATTACATACCCAAATTTATTACACACACACACACACACATATATATATATATATATATATATATATATATATATATATATATATATATATATATATATATATATAAAAAAGGCTTAAACAGTAATATTCCATGGTCATAATTTATTCCATTGGAATCGTAAATACGATCCAATTCATCAGACCTACAAATTCAAAAAAAAAGAAAACAGAAAAAAACAACTCCGGAAATAAAACAGAATTTAGAGAGAGTGTAAGTATGAGGAGGAGGGAGATCAAACCTTAACAGACAGAATTTTAAAAGAGGTGAGTGGAAGGGGTTTAAGTAAGAGAAATATGAATGTTGTCGGATGTCTAATGCATAAAGATACATTTCGTGGTGACATACACACACCGATCTAATGTTGAATATTATATATATATATATATATATATATATATATATATATATATATATATATATATATATATATTCAACACCATCACTTGATATGATATCAGAAGTGAAACAAAATGACTATTTTGTAGGATTTTATAATAAATTTATGTTATAATTTTTCGAATAAATTATTTTTGCTCTTCTCTGTATTGACCACTCTTTTTAGAATAGTATTTTTTAGTTATTGGAATTTATTCGTACTTGTCAATATATATATATATATATATATATATATATATATATATACCTGGTTTATATATATATATATATATATATATATATATATATATATATATATATATATGAAAAAAATGAGAGGAAGAACTATTCTCAGCCGAGGCGTTTCGTCCTCTAAGGGACTTTATCGAAGCAAATGTAAGGATTTATTTTGTTTGCATGTATTTATATACAAGAGCAACACGGGCAACAAAATAAATTCTAGGTTGCCTTTATAGAGTCACTCAGAGGAAGAAACGCGTCGGTTAAAATAATCCTTCCTCTTGTTTCTTATTATAAATTTTGTTTCTTCACAGATACACTGTATATGAAAATAATTTACAGACAGACACACATACACACACACACACACACACACACACACACACACATATATATATATATATATATATATATATATATATATATATATATATATAAAGACATTTTATGTTTAACGTTGTTTTTTATAGATACAAGTATTTAAGTGAAAAGGCTCTGTTTATGATAAACAGTATTAAATAACATTTACCGGACATGAAGAAATTTTAAATAGAAATTTAAAATTTTCATATAAAATTTCATTTGTTAAATATTTTCTATAAAAAATTTCGTTAAAACATAAAAATGTTGTATTTTAATAAATAAATTGTCGGACTTTGTCCATTTCTTAATATATATATATATATATATATACACACCTTGGAGGAGATCGAAAATACTTTTTGGCAAATTACTAAGGTACCTTCGTTGATGAATTTCATCATAACATCATGAAACTGATTAGAGAACAGGAAAGGAATATTTTTAAAATAGACATGATATGTCTGTATTATCCAATGAAATATCTTTGAATGAAGATATGCTGTCTAAATGTGTATACATACATGCATACATACATACGTGTGTGTGTGTCTGTTCATATCTATCTATCTGTTCCAGACTGTTTGTATAAATCTATCTCAATTTGTTGACATCTCTTTCCCTTCAGATTATTCTTATTAATCTATCAGCACACACACACACATACGCGGGCGCGCACATTCGAAATTCATATTATTTCTCGAGAACAACAGTGGACCTGGATTTCCGTTGCCTACTCCACAGTTTTGAATTCTAGATTGGCTGCCAGCTAAGGCTAGAGATCCCAGTTTACGCTATTATTTCAATCCATAACTGGAATCAATTAATGGCTTTCTCAAGAGCATTAGAAGACCAGACTAAATCCGATCTCGAACTGAACTCAGCGATTCCATTTTCCACGCCAATAACAGTTACGCTACAAACAAAGCCCTTTCTGACTTCTTTCTTTCTTCTTCATATATATATATATATATATATATATATATATATATATATATATATATATATATATATATATGCGTGTGTGTGTTTGCTTAAAGAAAAGTAATTTACCTTTCTGAGAATGCTACCAATAAATCTGTCTATATTTCTGAGATGAAGTATTATGTACACTATTCACATTATTCGAACTATTGTCCTCATGTTTGTCGCCATATTTATTACAACGTTTCGGCCGTTGTACGCTCGGGCCTTCTTCAGGTGGTTGGAATGTCAAACCGAACCCTATATTTCGCTCACTGGGGTAGACTGTTTTTACCCGCCAATCCCAAAGAGTTGTGAGTTCAATACCCGGTTAAGGCGGTGGAGAACTTGGAGAGGAGAATTAACAGGAGATAACTGATAACTGACATCCATTAAACATGGCTCGTGAAACTAGAACAACATATCTTAGATTGATGGGTTTTTTAATCTTTAAATATCTTATTTTTCGAGGTTCGACATGTAGAAATTGCTAAATGTCGGATACAGTACTGAACCCATGGATACGCCATCACGTTGTATATATATATATATATATATATATATATATATATATATATATATATATATATATATATTATTATTATTATTATTATCTAATAAACGGACTTCATTAGTATAAGCTAATAGTAATTTCCGTAATATATTAGAATTAATTTTAAGTAGAGGGTAAAGATGAGTTACCGTAAATATTTCTTATAATTTTGTCAATAGTTTCACTAACAGGAACATTGGTGAATAAGCTATGATTTCCTTGTTGGGTTTTTCTATTTAATCGACACACACACACACACACACACACACACACACATATATATATATATATATATATATATATATATATATATATATATATTAGTTAGTTAGTTTACAGAAAACGAGGTAATCCGTATGGGTAGACCCAAGGAGGATAAAATCCAGAGAGGTCAATGTAAATCCAGAGCAAATTATTTAAATAAAAACAGACTACTTTAAGGTTCCATGTCATAAATTATTTCACCACAGCCCTTTTAAAGGACTGCGGATCATCAGACTTTAATTCCAAAGGTTGAAACGAAAAATGAAAAGAAATTTACACATTTTTGACGGGCCGTATTAAGCATATGTAAATTAACAAAGTGAGGAAGTGAGGGGGGAGAGAGAAGACATGAGTGAGTTAGATGTAATTAAATATTTCTATTCTTTTATACTTAAAATTACTTGAGGAGGTCTAGACATTAACACATTTAAACGGTTAACTTAACGGAAGTTATATATTGATATAGAAGGGGTAGAGGAGAAAAAAGGCATAACAAGAAAAAGAGAGAAAGAAGTCATGAGAGAAGGTGTCACTAATATTCTTTGGAACAGGCTCGAAAAAGACGCTGTTATTTTACTTTG